AGATATTTTGATTATAGCCGTTGAAATCGTCTTGTCATCGCGGCCGAGTCAAAGGTCAGCGAATAAAGCGCTAGCGGTGCCGCACGTGATCCGCACATTTCACACTCGACCACTCGAACAATAACCCCATCATAGATATTCCATTTCTCGTGATGGCGAATTTAATGTTTTAACAAACGCGTTCGCCGGCTAGAGAGTCTTCAGCACGATTTCCCAAACACATTTTTTGAGCGGCGTAGCTGAAAATCATATGTTTTTTATGACATAGAACTTTGATTTTTTTTTACACGAAAATATACAGAGGTTCCATTTTGAGGACACCATTATTAATGAGTATTATCTTTTACAAATTCGACAAAAAATAATTGAATTAAGCGTTTCTAATTTTGGTGCAGTGTCCACATCCTTAATTTCTTACAATATGTATTTTTTTAGCTGAAGATCAACACAGAACTTAGGGAAAAAGTATATTTTTGGATTATACAATCTATCTATTATCTAAGATTACCAAATTAAGCAAGTTTCCCAAATAACTGTGATTAAGTCACGTCCTTAAGTTTTGTCCGCGAAAAATTTATGATTTTGGTGTCAATAATGAAATAGCTCGTCAGTTTCTTTAAAGATCAAACAGGATTTAAACACTCCCATCATTCGTTAGGTTTAGTACCGCCCCCGCGAGCAGTGACGGCAGACGGGTGCAAGACCTCTGCGTCTNCGGTGCTGGTAAATTTAAAACCATTTCTTGAGCTTGGCACTAAGATATGACCGACTGACAGCATATTTTCTAATTTTGGTGCTTTAATATAAATTTTGGTGTTCTCTTAATTTTGGTGTAAGGAAAATCTAAAAAACTACTGGACAAAATTTAATGTCTTAATCATTTTAGAAACAGTATAAGTTTCCAATAAATTTGATCTATAATTAAAGAATAAAAATACACAAATAACAATTTCCACCAAAATTAGGCAAAAATATGCACTTGTTGAAATTCACCCATATTCCATTTCTCGTGATGGCGAATTTAATGTTTTAACAAACGCGTTCGCCGGCTAGAGAGTCTTCAGCACGCCGCGCCGCGGTGCCGTAAATAAGTCGTCTGCCGTTGCTTGATCGCGATCTGTCTCGTGCCTGCAAGGGGTGGTTCGTCTGTCCCAGAGGTTTCTTAGTTCTTTTGTCTCCACCACACAGAAAAAAATGTACTGACCGAGGAAGATGTGTACCTACGCCATAAAAATCTATTGATATACTTAAGCTATCCACTTCAGAAGAGCTTTGATAGTTTGATTAGGCTGCGAGTGACTATGTAACTGAATTGTTAGTCGTAAATGGCGGGAAGCATGATCGTAATGAACGGAGATTGGCTGGATGCTAAAGCAGTGATTATAGACTTAAGTCCATTTTATATCTTAATCATTTATTTTTCGTGTTATGCCCTATACCAGTAACGGGCTTAGGTCTTAATACCATTTATTTATGATGAGCACATATTGACATCTAATAAAACGAAAATTGATGTTCAACAATTACAATATAGCACAAAGAAGTCTGGGCTTTAGCTGATACAATGATTATATCAATTTTAACTGACCGAATAGGTACATAATATTTCGTTTATGAACACCTTTCCAAGCAATATTTATTTCTTTGCGGGTAATTGAAGCTCATCCGCGATGCCTAGCTGCTGCTTAAACTTACTTCGCAGATTTGGTGATCACTAGCAAATTTCCACAGAGTGTGACCACCCTCTCTGCCTGCACCCGTAATTTGGGGTACTTCTCGGGACGAGCGAAGCAGCTGATGGATCTATGGAGGCAAATTACAGCCACTGTCCGTAAACGCCGCGTCTTCTAATGCGCAGTAAAGGCGCGCAGCATTGATTAGCTAACGATAATGGACTGGCATTTTGCAAATGCACGATCGGCTCTATCACTAGTTCTTTGTTAAAAAAAGAAGATAATGATTTAAATGGATGAGTTGCTGAAATATGTTGAACGCGTAGAGTTACGAGTACGAGTACATTTGCGAAATGAAAAACGAATGCTATTTTACGTTCAAATGAATACCAGCAACCGCGTACATTTCTTTTCTTTTCGTAAATCCGAATTATATTTTTGACCGCTCAATTCTGTGTAAATGCGTAAGAAATTGAATAATATTATATTATTATTTTGTGGTGAAGTTTGAGATTTTGCCACAGGTGCTGCGCAGTCGCCTCACCGAGAAATAAATCGATCAGTGAACATGTTAATTTGCCTGCGATCGTGGTCGAATATGGACCAGAACAAAATGGTAACGTTCACAAATTGACGCGCTAACGGAGAGCCGCACCGCAAATTACAGAACAGTAGATCCTCCACTTTCCAAGCGTTTTATATTAAGAAATACGATTCTTCATAATTTCATAGTTTATTTCAGTATTCCACACAAATTAGCAATAGTTACCAGATAAATAGCTTTCTATACTCGTAGTCAAGGGATGCTAAACTTGTGAAATATGTAATTGTTATTATTGAACCAACCAATAAATATTTCTCCGCTCGAGCTTTTTACTTTCAGCTGTAATGATTGACTTTTTAATTCATCGAATTGCAACTTTTATCATCTTTATTCTTTACTTTTTAACTTCTAATCTAAACCTTCCTTATTCTCGATGATAGTCGTGTTCCTACTGTTAACTTTTTATGAATGAGTAGATATGAGTTCGGCCAGAGTGATTCTTCTGCCTTTATTTCGAAGTCGTGGCTCAACGAATCGGGAAACGCGTGATAATTGAACATCCAATCGGAATCCGAAATATCGTAAATACCTTTACCATTTCGTAAGCGTCACGTACACGGCGCAAGAAGAGTGGTTAACGTGATGTGATAATGATTATGACATTTAACTGTAAAGTTGAGCTCTTGCCCGATGAGTTACAAAGCGCAAAGGTTGAATCGATTTCAAAAAGTATGTTACTGCAGCTTTTTACACTTGATCATTAATTGGACTTTACTTACTCAAAGTTTACTGAATCTATAGCCAAAGATTTACTATTCACGATACCTTTTAGTCATAACTGACGCCATTACTATTATTGTTCCTAGTTGAGAACAATGCACTTTGATTTAAGTTATAGGTAAGTCGGACCTTTATAGAGCGCTTTTATTTTCTGAATTAACACAATATAGCCTCGCCTTTTGCATGACCAACCTTAACCGGAGTACCAAATTATTAAATTATAGATGTTCCAGCGACTTTTATTGGAAAGTTTTTATCTTTATTTTGATTTTCCGTGAAGTGACTGAACGTGCAGCATCATGATGGATGGCCATTCAAATATTTTAAGTGGTCTCGGCAAATAACATGTCGAGAATGTAGCGGTAACCAGTAGAGTTGTGTGAGCTTTTAGAGTACTTTGTCGTTGTTACTAGAAAAAATTTTGGACTTTTGATGATCGTTAATTGAATTTTCAGAAGAATATAGAGGAAAAATAGTAGGTATACGGACTAGGTTCGAATTTCGCGTTAAAGACGGCAAAGGAAGCTAGTTACTCATTAAATGTGTCTCTTAAAACACTGTTTAACCTCGTGTTCTTAAAGCGAAATCAATGTTAAATCATTGTTTAAACTTTATTTAATAAGGGTCGTAGCATAAAATTGAAAGACATTGCAATATATGTTATACGTAGGTACCATGGAATTCCTAATAGTGCATGGTACGGGAGAGCGCTCCTAACGTAGGAGCTTTCCACTCGCGCGGGTATTGCAGTGCGCACCGACTTGTTTGCGCCCGCGCAGCGAGTGTCATACTCGCTAATGCGTTTAACGAGCAGGGGTGCTGCGGTGGTGGACATTTAGGTGAATTTAATTAAACATGTTTATTTATTTATTAAAAAAGACACCAACTATGATGGAAAGAAGCGAATAATCTGAGAAACGATTTGAATTAATGTTATGTCTTGTGATCACCAATTTTGTGTGGTGTGCATATAAGTACTCTCTTGCATATTGCCAAAGAATATAAAACAATTCCTTATGAATTATGTATTATTAATTTATTTTATTTATTAATTTAATACTTTTTGTGGGGTTTGAAAAACATCTAAAAATGTGCAATCAGTAGGTACAAAAAAATACACCGTAGGACAAGACAGGACAGGTACCTCATTATTTTAAGGGGAAAAGTGGTAACCCTGCCCCAAGGTATGTGCACGCGCATGTTCTAATTCCAGTTTGAGAAAATATTTGTCGAGCAAACCGTTCGCGGGCGTTTCTACAAATGAGACGGAAAATAAATACACGATCTATTAGGCACATGTCAATGCAATGGTGACTAAAAAGTCTCAAGACACGTTTTTTTGTATAATAATGACTAAATAAACTTTTTAAATATTACTTAAACTCGTAGTTATAATATTTATTGCGTCTACCATTTATAAATCAACATCAATTAAAGTTGCCAAACGTTTCCGGGCATATTGAAATACATTTCAAATTGCGACAATAAGTAGCATTGCAAAGCTAAATCTATTCAGTCATTCAGTTTGCATGATATTTTTGTTTACTTTTAGATATTTAAAAAAAAAAATCTGTAAATATAAGATGGAAGTTCTTTGAAATATTTAACCGAGCTGTATTGAGCGCGGACTTTTATTACCGCAGCCGGCGATGACTGCTCTATACGAGATGTGCTTATATGGAACTCCTCGCACCAGGCACCTCGCTCTCAAGGATGTGGATAATAAGCGAGTGTGTTCCACCAATTTACTACATCGATAAAACCGCTTTCATAGTTTTATTATTTCTCCCATAATAATACAGTCGCGAGAAATGCGAACATCAACTTTTAAGATTAGATTATATTAAAATACACCACATTTATAATAAAAATATCCTGAGAAATGTCATTAAAATTACATTTATTACGCTCGCAAAAGTTTCAATCGTAGTTACTTAGCACGTTATTTACAAATTAAATTCATTTTCTCAATTATTATAAATACCTACATATGATTTTTAAACTCATTCTAACTTGTTAATTAAACATTAACTAAATATACAGACATTTCTTTTACAAGTTTTATTGCTATCTACTTGAGTTCAATTTCCTTCCCATTCGCACTCGGGTCCAGCAGAGGCTGCAGAGCGTTCTTGCCGATCATCTCAGCCTCCTCCACGGTGTCCGGGAGCTCCGTCTTGGCCGTCTCTGGCATGAGCAGCGTCAGCGCGCCGGAGAGCAGCGACGTCAGGCCGAAGATCAGCGACGGGAGACCAGACCAGTAGGATATCTGGAACCGAAAGCAATTTTGCAACAGCTTATAACCACTACAAAGGATATTGAACATGAGTGCGGTGTTAAACGTCGAAATTTTTTTTTAAATTGTTTGAGAGGAGGGATCGGGACACATCTTGTTATCACTGCTACAGCTAGTATGCAGCCAGGATTTATAGCTTCAATCTTGACCGCCAATAAATACCAATCAGTGAAGACAAAGTTTCATGAAACTGAATAAATAAATAAATATCCTTGGACATTTTACACTGCGCTTCTAGTCCCAAACTAAGCAAAGCTTGTACTATGGGCACTAGAAAGCGGATATAAACATACTCAAATATTTTTTTTTTGTAAATACATAATACATAGAAAACACCCAGTCCAATACAAACAAATATGTTCATGCACACAAATGTTTGTACTGTGCGGGAATCGAACCCGCAACCTCTGGAATAGTAGTCCGTTTAGAACCACTACGCCAAACGTCGGACGAGGAAAAGAAAACAAAGTCCTCACCAGAAGCGGAGTCTGCGGCGCCAGCAAGGAGCCCAGGCGGCCCACGGAGGAGCAAATGGCGTGCATGGAGTTCCGGGTGTAGGTGGGGAACAGCTCCGACGTGTACATGTACACGATGTTGTACGAGAACGTGGCCAGCGTCTCGAACGCCATGATCAGCGACAGACGTATCCACATGTAACCTGCAGAATACATAGCAAGAATTTCAAATTGTATGTACACTTGTTTCATTGAGATATTCAAACTAATGTTACAGACATAAATGTCATGAAATGCCTCTTAGCCTCAAGAATTTATAGTGAAGCATATGACAAGTGCGTGACAATTTTGTATAATAACAAATGCTCTTAACCTTTTGGCACAAATGGTTGTAGAACACAGAAGATTCCTCCAATGAGGAACGACACCACCAGCGGCATTTTCCGCTTGTACTTGGACAGCGCCAGCCAGTAGAACACGTTGGACGGGATGTCCATGAGCATCAGCAGCGCGAAGTTGACGTACTTGTTGCCGTCGATGAACACGGCGCTGATCATCATGCCGTAGTTGATGAGCGTGACTGTCAGCCACCACACCATGCACACCAGGAACCTCTGCATCATTATCCTCGACTTGAACGTCTTCAACAATAGCTTCTTGTCGTCAACGTTCTTATTATTTTCCTCGTCTATGTACTCCAGTCTGTTCAATATTCGCTTGTCGATTTGAACACCATTACGTTTCGCTATTTTCTCGATGAGTTTTATTCCTTTTTCTCTTTTCCCTTTACTGAAGAGCCAGCGAATGCTCTCGTCTAGGAAGAAGGAGTATGTCAAAATAACCAGGGTGGGCGCATAGATGACTCGGAGGAAGGTTCTCCAGTAGGGCACGGCCCAGGAGATGAAGGGCATCACGATAAGTCCGCACGTGTAGCAGTTGAGAAGTATCATTTGGAACAGCACGGCCTTTTTCTTTTCAACGATCTCAATACCTTGTAAATAGAAGAAGTTTCATTAATTAATACTTCGTCAAAGTTTAGGTACTTCGTATCGACTTCAGTTTTATGTCGAGTTAAATAGTAACTTACTCAACATAAACATAGGCGATAGAGCATCACCAATCGCAGCTTCTAGTGCTTCCAAAACCACGTAGAACCAGAAAGAAGTGGCGAAACTTTTGGTCAAGCCCAAGACTGCCCCCATGGTGCCCGCGAACACGGCAGCTGTCTTTCTGCCAAACCTGAAAAAGATAAAATAAATATGTATAATAATGTTTTTTTACAAATATGTACTCGTAACTGCTAGATGCAATATACTGCTCAATCAATTAAAACGCGACGTTACACCTCAAGTATACTATTAATTTTACTATTGATGAATATGTTACGGTTAATGTGATAAATTGAAAATTATTAATAATAACCGGTTATTATGATAATTACCGACAATCGCGGTAAAAGTGATAAATTAATCACATTTAACAGTGATTATTTAATAATTCAACCTCAGTACTAACTTTCATAAAAGAGAACAACATCTTGTGTACGTGCTCGTGTACAGCCAAACTTTTGAACGTTTTGATATCATATATTAATATAATTTGGCATAATGAGTTTGGAATGTTTCTTGCATAATATTACTTTTCCATGATGCCAATAACATAATGTTTTGATTTAAAGTGAAAAAAAATAGGTTAAGGTGCGGCGAGGGTGGCCCTTGGGCCACCCCTAAGCCGCCTATTTAGTTTTATACACACATAAATGACCTCATATTAACCACATTTACCAAATCATGCGGTGATTATTCATAATAACCGGCGATTTTCATAATGTTCACATTTATCACTTTGACCGTAACAAATACACCAATATACTGTACCTTGTTATGTTAGGTAAACTTCAGTAATAAATTATGTAATCTCAGATGACTGTACGATATTGAAATTCCTTTCTGATTTCTATATCGTAAAGTCACGTGACTTCCCGATGGCTTATCGCAACGTTTTCAGTGTTAAGAAACTTTGAATCTGTTTTATCTCATGCTTGTTGGACTCTCCGCTATCTTAACTAGATCTAACGACCTTTTAAGCTTGTTAACGTCAGTTTAACTGCAGCCATTTGAATATAAATCTAATCGAATTTTAGTACATATTTTTAATTATTAGAATCGGAGAAGAGATAAAACAGCTTGTGGCCACTGACCAAAGTGACCACCAAGCAGCTTGTTTTATATTTTTTTTTAGAAAAATTCCATCTAGTATTAATTTCAACATACCGGTGTACATGGAACTCGGTAAAATATGGTACTATAGTGACGTCAAATATCTACTTGCTTTCTATTGTTTTAATATCTGACAACATCATGATTAATTTCATGGGAAGTCTTGTCTTATGAGGATATCTTTCTTTGGGACTCAACGTTCCGAGGATGGCCCGGTAGCCGTTGACTTTAGATTCTGTTCGAGGCGGGTTCACGTGTGCGGCCCGAGTGAAGTGTTGTAAATTAGTAGCGAGGTGTTAACTATCTGTGCCTAAGGTTTATGGTGCCCTAAACCTTTACATCTTTGTGTGTTATTTAGAGACAGGCAGACGTCATGTTTCATTTCCATGTTTAGGAATATTAAGCTAAGCTTGTTAAATGAAATCGAGCTTTCACGTGAGAATTCTATTTAGTAGAACTATGCAATACTCCTGGTTAACTGGGCGAGTAAATCTTAAAATATTTCGCCCGATTTCACCATTCACTATTTCTAAAAGTAAAAGCCAGGTTGTGTCTTTTGCGACAGGATGTTCCCGTCTAAAATAGGATCAGATAGTTTTATCTGATCAGAAATAGTTTTGGTTAACTGCGTTCAAATTATCGCAACTCTATTTGAGACGTATTTTTCAGCTATTACCTAAGTTAGCTATTCAGGCACAATCGTGAACCTTGAGGCGTGTGACCAGCAGAGAAAGTGAATGTACACATTACCACGTGCTTTAACGTGACACTTTTAAGCTCCACCGCCTAAATCTAATTACTAAAATGACTACGGGATTGTGAACTTAATGCCAATAAGCATCATCTACCAGTCAGCTTTAATCAAATAAAAGGAACGATGGATGACATCATTAAACTTTTACTTGTCTACCATTAATTAAATTAAATCAAATGTTAACGCAGTCCGTAAATCTCCCGCTTGTGAGTTAACTGGAGTTAACTCTGCGTAATAAGTTAACGTGTAATCGAGTTGATGGGATTAATAAGGAAACCACGGCTACCGGCGACGTTGCCGGGGAATAAACACATGACTTGTGAGCATGCCTCAACGTGATCCCATAACGATGGCAATGAAAAATACTCTTCATTGCACGCTCAGCGATAGCAATAATATAGGTTTTTATTATTTAGCTTGTTACTACCTAATGAAATGTGTTATGATACTGGTAACAACTTTTATGGTTTATAACTACAGATGACATAAATTGAAAAAATAATTTCTATGGCTTGTGGATATTAATATTTGAATAGGATTAAACATCGAGTCAGGCGGCAGGCGTTAATTACGAACAATAATTAACTGAAAGGTGGAAAAATAGTCATTTAGTTAAGAACTTAATGACCGTTACTCTTTAGGCATGGAAATAATGACGATTATCGAAGATAATCACGGTTTTCAATATTTATGTTGTGCTGAATTGCAATCGTATAGGCTATTGTTATGAATACTAATCGATTTTCCGCATTTTATCATTGTTCGAGTTATGCGTTACAAATGAATGTGAATCAAGGCGACTTAATGATTGGAGGACAGAGTACCGACCTGTCGGAGATCTGTCCCTGCACCAGCAGCCCCACCATGCTGCCGAAGTTGTGCGCCGTGCCCACCATGGTCGGCTTCCACTCCTCGCACGCCAGCCCGAACTGACCAGGATAAAGCAGAACTACTTAATTCAAACATGACAAGATGTTTTTAATGTCACTGAAAAATTGTTATTATGGGGTCTTCAAAGAGTGAACACTATGATTTATTTAGAAGACAAAAACCTAATGGACAGAACTCACATCCACAAGCAAATTAAAAAGAAAAAAGAAACATTTATTACAATGGACATCACAAAAGACAAAAAATGTAAATAAAAAAATAATTAAAAAGACAGAGGTAACGCATATAACATACAATGGAAGAGAAAGTAAACTGAGCAGTGCAACCCATACCCATTGCAAATGAGACCCGACTCAGCATATGCCGTGGCCCACGGTGAGGAAGGCCTAGCACGACGTTGGTTTTCAGTGCTGATTCAATTAACGCGACATCAAATTAATATTAAACAAAGCTCACCTCGGCAACAAAACTGTCGGGCACATCATACACCCACTCCTTGCACTCCACCACCTGGCTGGTGTTGAACGAGGCACACCCATCCGTCGTGTACCGCCGGCACTGCTTGACGTACTCCTCGCTCACGTCTGGGGAAGACTGGTTCAGCCACGGGCTGAAGAAGCTCGCATTGGGACTGTCGCACGAGGGGATCTGGCACCTAGAACAATGGAGAAGAAGGTTTATGCTTCGTGTTTTGTGGAGGTTCCTAATCACAGATCAGTACGGCACGAAAAACTTTCAAGTTCGAATCGTTTGCTTATTCGAATCGCCATCAAAAGATTTAGTACGAAAATTGCAATAGCGCCCTTGTGAACGTGTCGTAAAGTGAACTTAGTATGAGAAATGATTGCATGAAACTTATTTTGAGAATCAAAACTGTCACGTTATCGTTGAATTCGAAGATTGAGTATCGAATTTTGTCGAATACGCAAACGATTCGAAGACGAAAGTTGTTTATGCTAGAGGTACAGACAACCTCAGGTTGAGATGAAGATCTTAATATTTTGTTGTTTATTTATAGTGCACCAAGTCTAGATTTGCGGCTTAGAGACATAACAATAATATATGCAACATAAAGGCATGGGTAAAATTAACTGGTTAGACAGTTCGTAATAAAAAGATCTAACGCATTTCATTTATAAAATATAAAAAATATCACTTGAGCCAGACCGACCATAACTTGATTCCGATATAAGTAGCCTAGAATAAAATGTGTGTACGTTTGTAATCTAGAACATAATCTTTAATTAATTTCTCCGGATATTATGGTCGCCGGAGCACTTGCAGCTATCAAATTGGTTTGATCTCTTATGAGCAATGTAGCAAAGTTGCTAGAGTTTAATCGTTTTGTTAGTACACATTTTGGTCGTGAAATTATTTTCATGTGCCATAGATATTGTTCACATAGAAATGTCCTGTAAATAAACGAACCAAACCTGTAGTTGACGTCCTCGACGGCGAAGACGTAGTTGACGTTGTACATGGAGTTGGTGGCGTAGACCAGCGCCAGCAGACACATGGTGGCGAGCTGGTGGCGCCCGAACGCGCCCAGCTTCTCCAGCACCTCGTCCAGGTGGACGGGCCTGTTCAAATTCTCCGCTGACATGGCTGGAATGTTCCGTGTTCTAATCACTTGCTCGTAGAAGAAAGATGTTGGTCGTCAACTTCTGTGCTCTTTGTCAGCACCTTGACCTGGTTAGTGATGAATCCTCACGTACAAAAATGATCCTTTCTCACTCGTGTCCTCAATAAATATTCTGAATCATTATTTTTGGTCAATCTTAATTATCTCTGAGTTTATCTCGGGACCATTATTATTTCTTTATTTTAATAGTAGATTTCCCCTTTCCTTCCACAATATCTATGTGCAGTCCATCCTGGCTATTTACAAATATTACAACATATACACTCAATGCACTAGAAGCGTGGCATAGTTAGCACATGGCGAGACCTACTGATAAAGGCACTGTGGTTATTAAGTAAGTATTATTTCAAATAATACTTATTTTATAGAACCATTAAAACTAAAAGGCACGGTATACAGCTTGCGTCACAAGAAAACGTATGAATGATGTTTATTAGGACGAGATTGTCGAAAGTCAAAAAATTGTAGTCACTGAAATGTTTTTTATATTATCTTGAAAAAAATTTATCTCGTGATGTGTTTAGTTGTGTGCTTAGGTTAAGGCAGAGACCAAACTAATAATTTTTATTATAAAACTTTACTTTTCATGAATGTTGAAACAATTTTGGTAGGTCCTTTAATTTTGAGGAAGCAATAATTTAGAATCGGTAAAGCTCTAAACGTAACGAAGGTTTAGGTTTACCGTTATAATAATTGGTCTAAAGCAGCTCTGAAGTGATTGTCTCGGCCTACAAAATGAAACCTATTGCTACTCTTATAACTGTTTAATGCTGTAGCGTAAACTGTAGCTGTTTTATCGCTAGCGCTGCAAAGGCCTGTAGTACTTTAAGTAGCGTTACTTTTATAGTGTCCGTAAAATTTATTATGCTTGCATTCTAGAGGTCTCACCCTCGTGTGATTTCGCGAGCTTAACGCAATCTTATGAGCAGTACTAAACGTCTATACGCTTTCTGGTACGCGGAACAAAGATGTATTATAGTTTGTACAAAATCTGTGTAAAATTGCCAAGAATTAAAAGTGTGAACTAGCTATTAGCTTATCGCGTCCACACTAGCAAACACCGATAGCGTGTCGCTTGTCACGGAAAGTGAACGCAACTTAATCAGGTGGTAAATACATTGGATGTGTGCAAACATTACCATTTAGAAACGGTAAAATATCATTAATAGAAAAAGTAGATTTAAAGAAAACGAAGTATTTTGAAAATGGATTGAATTTACATTTTATAAAGCTGTTATTGCAATCTTGATTAGTATTGCAGCGCTTGGTCTATAATTAAGCTATCCATTTCCACACTAGCCCATGCCCAAGATTGTGGGCAAGTTTACGCAGGAGTAGTCGGTTTACATAACATTCGTGCCATTAATCAACAGTTTGATTATAATATCGGCATCAACGGCTAATGATACCCCGGTAATTCGTGCTCTTCGTGATTAAGACGTCCAACTGAACCAGACGCGACGACCGACGTACAGTCGTCTCACTTTGCAGTGAAAAGAAACGCAAGAGCAAGTGAGACGTCAGTCCAAGAGCCTTTATTAATGTCTTGCAATTCTTATTGCCCTGTGATTTACAACAGTTTGAGAGAAATAAATGAGAAGCGTAATCGACGGTAAAAGGAGTTTGTAATTGCTAGGAAAAAACAAAGAAAGTAAATGCGATCGTTTATCAAAGCCAGCACCGTATGATCTTTGCCTTAGTTTTAATGGTAGGTGTTAGAGGCGATATTGTGTAATAGACCCCGTTCAATATCGTTTTAATTGAAGTTGATTTGTTGCAACTTGGGTGAGAAAACGAATTAGAAAGATTTCACGCTTTAATCTGGAAAATATGTAGAGTCAGATTTTAGCCAGCACATAAGACCAGAGCATTAATTTTCAATAGTTCTTTCTCAATAATGACATGCTGTTTTCAGTTTGATTCCGCATCATCTAAGCTTTAAATTAAAACTCATGATGATAACTTCTTATTGTAACATCAATGGAAGTAATAAACTACTGAGTACCTACCTATTGACATATCGATTATGCGACGTTTGATCGTTAGTTTCATCAATGATATGTTTCATAAGAATAAGCTTCGCACAAAAAGACACAGAGCTGACTATTTATCAAGCGTCCCTACTAATGGTCCCCGTGATGGCATTTTGATAGATCTCCCTGTATTACGCATGCGCTAACGGCACATTTGCTATATCTACTTAAGCGTGAGGCAATTAGACCTGGGGTGTTGCTGTGATTTATTTCTCCAAGTTGTAATTATTGCTAATGATTATTTGTAAAATAGGACTATATATACCATAACATTTTCTAATAACTTATCACCCCGGGAAACCGAAACCCAGACGGCATGAATAGGAACAGAAAATAAATATGTACTACAATTACTGTAATGAAGCGTCTGCAATCGAAGTAAACGTCACTGAGCCGATGATCCTACTGTTCTTCAAACGTCGAATATTTGAATAGGTAATATTCATTTCCTATAATAATGCGCTAGGCCTTTAGTTTACCTTAGTATACCTAATAGCCATGGTATCTTTATGTAAGCGGCTATTATACTTTCAAAATGACGACAAAACTAAAATAAATCGTTGAAATATGGTTCCCCGCAAAAAGTCGTGCTCTTCCTGCATTGCTAAGTGTAACATTAAAATTGATAATCCACGAATAATCGTCGGTTTGAATATCCCAAACAGTTCTATGGGAAACGCAATATTTCCTTACTGTTTATGTTGCATTGTTATTCTGCTCTCTCTCGTTCTGAAATGTATGTACCTACTTTCAGGCAGGTACAGTGAAATGTTGTAACAGTATCATACGACCTAACAATAATGTCCCGAGAATTCATTATAATAACATAATTAATAATCGATATCTAGTGATCATTTGAAAAAGGTTCATTCAGTCTATAACTGTAGCCTGTAAGAGTAAACAGAGATAGTCTTGTATTTAGTGTCGAGCTGCCGGAGATAAATATTTATCAATTAAACCTTGATATACATACACAAACGAACGTTGTTCCTATTAAGATAGGGATTATTTGCGTATGGTTACGACATCTTTAAATTGAGTTAACTGTGACGATGAAAGGTGTTTTGTTATTAAACATTTGTTAGGTGGCTGGCATTGTACGAGTATTAGCATGACATTTGGCGTCACTTTGGAGATAAAAATGTGATTGTTTGCACTTCTGAAGGCCACAATGATGGGTGTCGCATATAGAGATTGCTATGAACTTTTATTTGATTACCGGTCGGGTCAATTTAAAAAGTACAATAGACACAATGACTTGAGTGTTGTAAAGCAAAATCGTTTGAACATAAATAAAAAAACTATGCGTTAAATATAAATTACTTAGTACTCAGTGGTCAATGCGAGCACAATGATCATCCAAAGGACCTTATTACCATAACAATAAGGCTTCACTATGCGCGGTAACAGGATGCGCACGCAGCCGCCGCGCGCGCAGGCACGCAGCAAGGGCGCGCAAGGCCGCGCGGGTCGTGCACCCAGCTCTATAATCTCTACAATACATGCTATACTTATTCCTAAAGTAAGTAATCCAACGAAATATTTAAATTGCGGTTTGTAGAGATTTCGTCGTAAAATTGTTTCGTTAAAATATTAAATGTTTGTACGGAATACTAGGCTCAAAGACGAATGCCTTATCTGCAAACTGAAGCTCTCTTTGCGGCAAAAATTTAAAAATAACTCGCGTCAAGAAAGCTTTTTTACTTCTATTGATGGCCATGCTCGTGTGCGTGGATTTGACTTGATTAGATTGCTGAACCTATTTCAAAGTACAGTAAGCGAATTTTAATTTTGGACTCGTTCTGTTACACAGTAATAATATTTATTCGTTTTCTTGTCACGACGTTGTTATCTTTTGAAACTGATACAAATGAATAGGCAGATTACTTTGGAGATCCAAAGAAACCTACATCACGATAAAAATCAAATTATCTCCCTGCTAAAGCCCAAACTATCTATCTTGAATACATATACAGTCAGTAAATGTGGCATTAAATAGTTGTCTTTTATGTGAAAAGTTACGCAATTTTTAACTTGTTAGTTAGAGCATTGACGACTACCTTTTGTCAATAAATCGATTAAATTGTGAATTATTATTTGATCTACTCGTGACTCGAGTTTCTTCAGTTCATTTGAATTTGTATTAAAGTCACACGATAGTTAATGGTGTCGGAACAACTGAGGTAGTAAAGAAACTTTAATAGATAAATTATTTATGGAGAACTTTTTTAATTTTTAATTCTATGGTTATTGTAATTGGTGTTCTGATTGTTATATCACGTCGCCACCGAGAGCTTTGAATACGCCGTGAGAATATTATAATGAAATACCACACAGATAGAAATAAGATTCGATTCAAGAAATAACAAAACAATGACTGTAATAACCAGTTAGACTTCATGGAATTTAATAAATTACTATTGATATTGCTTGTGTCTTTTACGAAAACGTAACGGAAAACGCACTTACAGAAAAAAATTTAGGTATGTTTATTTTGGTCGTAATGGCATCTGCAAAATAAATAACTAATTATGACTTGATATAACTTGACAGGTGGCCGTTAAAATACACAGAACACGAATCAGTGTAGTTTTTTTATTAGTTTTCGCAGCACTCTGCCGAGTCATCAGCTGCGCGCGGGACCGTGAAATAGACAAAGTCGAGCGCGATTCGGCACAACCTTTAGTACAGTCAGTCGCATTAGACCTATAGATAAAAAGTAGAAATGTTGATTTTAGACAGAACTTGGATTTTCATACGGACAAACAGTGGACAGTCACTGAGTTTGTTTTTAGGGAATTAGAATCCGCAACAGTCGGCATAACTGAAACAGTCACGGAAAAGTGGACATTTTAATTTTTTCTGAATTGACAAAATAAGTATCTCGTGCATCGATTTATGTAGGTAACCATAGAAAGTAGTTACATACAGAAATGCATATTTGCATCTAAAAACGAGAGCATTTATTGTTTCTGAATGTACCCGAGGTCTGGCGCTGGGAAACTACTTATTATAATATCGGCGCGAGAATGTGCTTTATAATATTCTTGGAGTTACGATTACACGCTTGTAATTTTCGTTGATAAAATCAGAAATAAATATAAATTCAAATAACCTATATTGCATACATGTTGCATAATTACACATTTTAATACCTAATAATACGTGTAAAACTGTGCATAGTGGCGTAGATTTTTGATGTTAATTTATAGGACTGTATTGAGGAACTCCGCTACTGATTCGTTCTTTTTTTGTAATATCAGTAGAAATTTGTACCTTCCTATTTTATTAGACACATAAACATGGAAGTTTCGCAGTTCCTTGTGTGAAGTAAAATGTAAATATGCGCGGGGCTCCCGCGGCGCACGCCAGCTTGCCGCCGCGTGGCCAGGGCTATCAGATGCTACGAAT